CTTTTCTTTCTCCAAATATTTATGTTAAATGGCAAAGTGAATATTTTAACCAGGCCTGCAAATTCTCCACCAGTCCACTGCCAACTTCCTGGTGTAACTTGTCAACATTGTATCCAAAACATTGTAGACTTGGGAAGGGGAAATCATTGAACCAGCGATTGCGTTCTTTTTTTGCTTTACGATGTAAGATTATGGACTCATCTATTCTCGTCAGTAAAATACTGAGGAGAATAGAGGAGTCCGTAATCCTAGATCGGTACAGACAGGAAATTGAAAACGATAGTCCCCAGAATTAGCAAAGTAGAATTAGCAAAATAACAGCGAACACTTTTTCTTCCCCAGTACCAAAGTATAAGTGCAATATGAAAAGACATACTATATATTTGGATATTCGAACTCAGTATATTTGCAATAAGTCGAACTCGCTACGACACAAAAGCATGCAAGCATAGCAACCATGCACATGAAATAAAACCAGGCAAAAGACACATCATTACAAAATAATACAACATCCCGAGGAACATTACTCACGTGAAGAAATTATTTTAGTTTAGAGCAGCCGTAACTGAATTTCATCGAATTGGATTTTGTAATCTGACAGCAAGTTCATCTTGCTGTACGTTCCTGATGAAGTTTCTTCATAAGAAGAGCAAACTTCGTATTTTGTTGCCAGATTTAAGCTATGGTGCAACACAATGTAATCATATCTAATTTTGTCAGTATGCAATCATCTAGGCCTACATATATTTTGTTTGTAAACATCATACGTTTCTTGTTTTTTAGGCTGAATATCACCAATGATAAACCGTTGTATATAGTCTGTAGGCTATCTATACCCTATTATAAAAAAATAATGACAAACTTTACTTGATGTTGAGAATATATATAGAAATACTTTACAGCTTTGTGGAGTCCGTGAGGTATCTAATACTGTAGATGACTATAGCAACAAATCGAAAGAAATATTAAAATCGATATTGAAATAATAACCTGGGGTCGGTTGTGCGATGGACGATACAAAAAAAGTGTATAGGCCAGGCCTATAGGCCAACCTATAGGTTCCTACTGGAAACCTATAGGTTTTTATAGGCAATTGGAACATTTTCTATAGGTGACCTACATGTATAGCCTATAAAGGCTTCTATAGGGAATGGGAACATTTCCTATAGGCACCTATATAGGCCAACCAACTAATAAAAAATATAAATTTTTTTTGCAAGGGTTGTAAAAATGCTTGAAAAGTGATATGGATCGAATATGGATCCACAATTAATGGATCAAGGAAACTTTAAATTTATAGACTAAAGTTTAATCTGGGTTATACCAGTCAACAGCCAATTTAAGAAAGCTTTAAAAGCTTCTAAAAACCACTATCCGGTTTGTACGAAAGCCGGATTGCGCTATCCACCTAGATGTACAAAGATTTCTCAGAATAGATTAAGTGATTCAGGGTGCGAGCAGGCTAGTATTACGTCAGCTTGTTTAAAAAATGAGCTTTTTCCATCGCTAGTTAGCCTCCACTAATTCTTTGTTTGCAATGACGTAATTTTGGTATTCAAGCTAGTTGACGGGCAGGCATAACAAAAACGGCTATTTTAATCTATTGGTCGAGTTTAGATACTGTACAGTTTAATCAAAAGATGAATTACCTAGGTAATTAGTTAGGAACCAGTGCAGAATCTGTATAGAAGATGGAAATAAAATTCACAGCCTCTGGGACTGCAGAGCAATAATGTATTAGCCTCATGCAGATCAGGTCATTTTCCTTTCCCCTAACAAAAACCCCTGTCTGGCCATTAAATCTGGCAATTCACCTGATTGGACTAATTATTAGTCAAGACAAAGAAATATTAATCATGTCTTTTCAATTAATGCCAATTAGATATTTATTAAAATTTTAACAATGATTATAGAATAAATGAACTGTTCAAACTAATCATTGGTACAGCTGTTGAAGACCACAGCAAGGTGGCCAAAAGCTTTTAATAAATCAGGGTTCGAAATAACGTTCTGAAAATATGTCAAATTTTGTAGGCTGTTTTTTGTAGGTGAAAATTTTTGCTGGCTGTTTTCCAAGAAAACTTTAGTTTTGTTCTGGAGCGGACATAAGCCAAATAATAGTGTTGTAAACCAACACAACATTTGCAAGAACTCAGCAAACATTTTATTTGGTGTAGGAACAAACATTAACAATAATTTAAAGTGCATATGACATGAAATTTCTTATTTTCTTGAATGAAAGAACTCTTTAAGTTGTGGTGTAACTTATTTTTCAGTTTCTTGTTTTTATGGTTTGTTCCCGAGATATTTCAATTTGTTTTATTATGTAAATGAGTGTGAATATGTCCGCTAATTTATGACGTCACTTTGGTTGCAAGCTCAACTTACACTTAACTCTAAAAACAGTAGATATCAATTCACGTTTTTCTCCAGTGTTTCATCACATTTACCAGTGAGTGAAGTTTGAAATTATCATCTTGGATGATAGCAGTGATATTCAACCAAATTAAAGAGCTTGCAACCAAAGTGACGTCATAAATTAGCAGACATATTCATACTTATTTACATGTCAAACAAAACTGAAATATCTTGGGAACAAACCATAAAAACAAGAAACTGAAAAATAAGTTACACTACAGCTTAAAGAGTTCTTTTATTTAAGAAAATAAAAATTTTCACGTCATATGCACTTTAAGTTCTGTGTGAATCAGTTCAAAACAAAAAGAAAATATTGTTTTTTTAATACAATAAGTTTAAGTTTGGTCCTATTAAGCTAGGGAAGTTAAATAATCTACTGCTATATTAATAAATTTATAAAAACGTTGTAAACGACTAAAAATCTGTCACTGTTTACAAAATCTGGTGCTCAGTTCATTTTGGATTCCTCTCACTATAGACACTACAGTCGATGTCATGATGATATCTATTTAAATATACATTCAACTGTTAATTATATGTATGCGTTATTGCATGTGAGCGAGTCATTGGTAAATAAATATTTTTGCCAATCTCCTATGCTTTAATTGAAATTAAAAATCGCCGGCACGGTTCTAAAACTGCCAGCTATTGCCGACAGCTATTTCAAACCATGTACAGTAAATAAATACTCTGGTCAGAGAACACAATTAATTAATTATCGTATCATAGGAATAGACATAATTATATAAGGCCAAAAAAAAAATTATGTGGGTTTCCGGTTTCTTCTTATAAAAACTTAGGTAGGGTAGGTCGGTTTTAACTTTTTTTTTAACTTTTTTTTAAAATTTTCCTTACAAGCGGACGCCATTTTGTTTAGTCAGTGCTTCCACATCGAAAGATAAATTTCCCTACTATTGCCTCAAATTTCAATTTTCCACAAACTTTTTCCTCTAAGTGGAAACACTTACAAGCATGATCCAATAAAAAGTTTAGGGTCGGGATTTCGACGTCCAAAACCTAGGTAGGGTCGGGAAACCGGAAACCCACATATTTTTTTTTTGCCTAATTAATAATGTCTATTCCTGGCACGCTTTGACCATATACTTTTAATTACTTGTATAATTATATACTATTGCTCAGGGTATATAATTAGCACTTTCAACTATAATTAGTTTGTTATTGTTATTATGTGAAATTCACATTTCCCCTGAGACATTTTGATCAAATAGAAACTTTACTTTGTCTCAGGCCCTATTTGCAAATTGCAAACCCACACAATCTAGACCACTGAAACTTTGAGAAACAGCATGCATAGAGATTAGGTTTTATGTTGCCGGTGTAATGCACTCAGTGAAGATGTATGTTTGCGATGTTGTCTCTGTGTGTGTCCACACAGGGTAAGCTAATCCAATGTTCTACCAACTAAGCTATGAGGTCAATTTGGTTCGAGAGCGTGATATTTCGGATCTCAGTCTGTTGATTTTTTTTTTTTGTTTCTGGTGCTATGCACTCATATATGTCCACACCGTGTAGCTGATAAGTTTGTGTAACTGCATGGTGGGAATCAAACCTCTGACCTTCTGTTTTACAGTGCGTCTACTGTAAGTGGGGCCACTTAGAGAACACTAACCAATCACATTGCAGAACAGAAAGTGAAAAAATCAACAAACGGCGCATTAGCCAATCAGCATTAGGGCAAAAACAATTCGAACAAATAAACGAATGTCAAACGGTAAAAATAGACATGTAAAAGTAAACATTGCAGTTAATGGCTTCCTGAATCTTTCTTTTGATTGGACGAGCTTTAGTTTGATTAGATTTTTCTTTCTGTTCTGCAATGCGATTGGTTAGTGTTCTCTAAGTGGCCCCACTTACAGTAGACGCACTGTAAAAGGAGGAGTGAAAAATTTCTAGTGAGTGCAAGTGGCACCACGGCAATGAGCAAGCTTCAGCAGACTCAGCAGGGGTTAGGCATTCAGGTTAAAGACTTAATTTTTGTTTTAAAGGAATGTTGGTGAGGTTGAACACTTTATAAGAGGAGTTGAACACTTTATAAGATGGGTTAGAGAGATTCTAGGGGAGGGGTTTAACCACCCTAATTGACGATTCCCCTTATTATGTTTTCGTAGTGCTTTAATTGCATTGTGGTTATAATGATATCACAAATATTGAATGTTTTCGCAAATATTTTGCTGTTGGCTATCGTGCACCTGACCCTAGCTTTTTTAAAATTTCTTGCAGGGGTCAGGATGAAAATGAGCAATCTTGAATACCAGTGATACCACTATAACCACAATGCAAAGCGCTACTAAAATGTAATAAGGGGAATCTTGATTTCCAGTAAATCAACTCAAGTCTGGTTAGCCAGTTGAGCATTGCACTGGGGAGGGGGGTTAATAGCCATAATTGCCATGGGTTTAATTATAGTTATAGGGGGATATAGATTCATGTCTCGTTGTTTATCAGTAGAATCTCTGGATCTGCAGTTGTTCAAATTAAAATTTATGGCACTTCCTCCAGTAATAAGTATAGCTCAGTGCAAAGTTCAAAATAATGGTGCTCAAAATAATGTCCTATTTTCTTACCTGTATGATCTATCTCAACAATCGATACAGAAGGACAATGTTTAGCCAACGTATCTATACTTGTGGAACCCACAAAGAATTCTGAAATCACCCCCACAACTGGTTTCGCACGAGTGCTGCTCATTGCCATATTTCCACCAGTGATAAATTTCGTACTACCCCTGCTCGTCAGGGAACCGACGCTCAAATTTAGAGTAACTGTTGAATACAAACTAGAACGCACAAAATACCTTGTAAACGACGCCACTTTCTGTAGTTTGGAAATTTCAATTTGAAAACAGTTTGTTGACAATTTTAATAAAACGGAACTCGGCAGGCAAATCAGTGCTGCCACTTCCCACACCAAGAATTCCTTAGATTATCGGTGGTAAAAATGCCTCAGATTCAGGACAATTTCCTAAGGGGCGGACCATTAGAAAAGTGATGGGGGGGGGGGACTTTTCTTGCATGCACGATATTTTTTCGACTGCTTTGGCGTTGCAGGAATTTTTTTTGGCACCAAATTATTTGCACGAATTTTTTTTCCATGAAACTAGAAGTTTTCAAAGCACAAGTAACACGTATGAAAAAGACTAACTATTTTCTGTTCTTTCAATAAATAATGTGATTAAATTCCTTGAACAATTACTTTTGAAAAGTTGTAGAAAACTATTATATATTTTAATACAGCCATGGAGTCAAAAGACAAAGATCTCTCATTTTCCTCAGACCTAGCCACACCCATTCACCCAAAGCCAAACCCCAATACCAGACTTTTTATTAAAAACACATATTTTATACAAAATACGTTTTCAACTTCAAGTTCCAATCTATTTTACGAATTTACGATTTCAGTAGTAACTCTGTGCGAGTCAGTTTAATACCTGTGTCTGACTCTGATTAAAAGATATACATGATTACATGAAGCCGTCCAATTCTTATATACCATTCCAAATGATGCAAAGCCAAAGGCACCGCAATTGAATTTGCGGCTACATGGCCCACCATTCTATAATCTTCTAAAGACGTCTATAGAAGATATTAAACGACCTACTTTTGTTGAAAGATGACTAACATCGTGGATTGCAAGTCCAGAATAAAATAAAGCTTGGCCCTGTTTTCCAACAATGAACAATCTCGCCAACAATGATTTAATTATATTTTTCATTGCGCTCTGCAGGAATTTTTTTTCCTCGAATTTGATCATGCGGGAATTTTTTTTAAAGTTAATTTGCCTTGCACGAATTTTTTTTTTGTTTTTTCCCTCCCCCCCCCCCCCCCCCCCCTCCCCCATCACTTTTCTAATGGTCCGCCCCTAACTAGCGGGCAGCCTAGACCTAGGCCTTCTAGTTCTAGTCTTATTTATATATTTTTAATATTTAGCGCTTTTTCACAGGGAAAGACTGGGACTAGGTGATTTGGGGGCGGGGCGGAGGAAGCAAGCTTGTGTCCTTCCTCCGCCCCGCCCCCAAATCACCTAGTCCCAGTCTTTTGATGTGAAAAGCGCTGAATATTAAAAAAATATAAATAAAAATAGAAGGCCTAGGTCTAGGCTGACTAGCGGGTAGTTTTTTGGGAATTGGGATCTCGACCACAGGGACGTAGGGACCGGTGTGTGTGTGCATGTGTGTGTGTGTGTGGGGGGGGGGGGTCAACCACTCCAACTGCGAAACTCGGTAAAACCAGGTAAAATTCATGTTTAGCTTTTGACATTTTCGGGTAAAATTTGCATAATAAAGTCGTTATTTTTGTGCAATGATAACCATTTTTGAAAGGTCTCCTTTCCCCCTCGCCGAAGAAACGAAAATAAGGCTCTGCTCGCAGGGTACACTTCAGGTAAATTTTTAACATTGAAGTCCAAATTTCAGGTCAAATCATCCAACACCCTCCCAACTTCAGATGCTTCGCTAGGTCCCAATCTCGTTCCCCGAGCCTGCGATTCTCGGGAAGGAACGTGAGGCTCTGGGATAATCCGTTGTCGGAAGCCAGGAATCCTGGCTAAAGATTGAGCTGCACATTCCATTTCAACGGCCAATCGGATTCCTCCCTGACACGGGTTATCCCAGAGCCTCACGTTCCTTCCGAGGATCGCAGGCTCGGGAAACGAGATCGGCTAGGTCCCGGCTCGACCAGCATCGTCGAAAGAAGTTTGCATGTTGGCCAAGGAATATATTCATTAACAAATTTCCGCAGTTAGTATTTTTGCATAAATAACAGCTAATTTGACTGAATATTATTCTAATATAATTCCTGACGTTACATGACGTTCTTGTTATCTCGTGTCCAGTAACCATCTTGAACTGCTGTCAGTGGAGATGTCGGTCCATTTTCCAGGGGGTTCATTAGGTAGAAGAGGTTATTTCGCTGGTCTCAGAGTGAAAAATCGCAACAAAGCAACGGTTTCACTAACTCTAACCTTATTCCAAACACCAACTCTAATCCTAACCCTAACCTAACCCTACTCCAACGTAGTTTCTAAGCCAATCTTAAGAAAAAGTTTTGACAAAATGTTTCCCGAGAATTTAACTAGCTCAATCTGAAATATGTTATATAGTCGCCGGTTAACCCATTTACTGACAGTACTCATATACCCACTGACAAGTAAAATTGTCTGCCGTTTGTAGACAGTAAATACTAAAGTCAGCTAATGGTTAATAAGAGACATTAGCAGATAGGTTTGTTAACCCATTTTACTGATATATAGTACTCTACTACTGTCAAGTAAAAGCGTCTGGCGAAACACAGTATAAATTTTTTGGCCGTTAGACAGAGTTATAATTAATACTACGTAAGCTGCATTGCCAGCTAATGCTGTTTATCTACTTTTGACCCAATGGCCTCATTTTCATGTTGGTTATTTACTCATGTTACGAGCTTAAATAATTACCGAGAAACAAATTTGTGCAGGAAACATAGGGGATATAACATTCATGTGCAGGCCTGCCATGCAACCAATGATGAAACATATGGAAATGAGGTCATTGGGTCAAAAGTAAACTTCCCTTTAGATAGTCTAGAAGCATAAACATAGCATGTGTACGTATAACTATACAAGTTAATTTTGCATTCAGTTCACGGGGCAAAAAAGCAGCAATTTCCTTGCGCGCGATAGTAACTCCTAGTAAATGCTAAAAAATCCTTAGAAATTCCTTAAAAACAATTCATTACACTGACCTGAAAAGTCAAGTGTCTTAAATCCTTAATTTTCTGTTTTATTCTGTGTTTTCCAGTTTTCTTCTGTTTTTTTCGTCGTCGAGAAATCGTGTTTGCGTTAGCCCATCGCAGGCTCAGGTTCCAGTCGTTTCAGTTTACTATACAAATCAGTTTTCAAGATGGCGGCCATTCAATGAGTGACTATTTCAGTCTCAAACAATTTCTTCATTTGTCAACGAATTTTCCCGCGTTTTTCTGTGGATTTTGGATTTTAATATTCTACTCTAGCTGCAATCTCCTCTGCACTTTCTTGGAAATTGACTGGTTGTATTTTTTCGTGCAACGTCTGGTAAATGTGATATCTGGATCGCCGAGTTTTTCGAATGTTATGCGTTACATACTTACAAACTCATGGAATGTAAACAATGCATCACATGCTCAGAGACCATGTGCATAATTTATGGATAACGTTTGTGTTTGCGAGTAATACTTGTGTTTCATTGGACATTACGAAAACATCTCCTCAGGATCACACAACGCTTTGCATTTAAGGTACACGATTTGTATTCTTGTCTATTGCACCATAGCACGTATGTCGTCATTTTCAGGTCAGTGTGAACGCCTGAGCAGGCGTCTTGTTTCCTTTAAAACATCCTTATAAATTAAAGAGATCCAACTCCTCAGTTCAAGGAAATTTGCCAAATGCAGAACTGGTAATATTTAGAGATAATAAGGGATTTAATTATGGGGAATCATTTTGCAGTGAGGAGAGCATCCGCTCAACCCAGTGAAATACGCTACCTTCAGATAAACTGGGTATCTTTTCTTCAAGCTAAATCTGACCCCCACTGTCCCCCAGACACTGGGGGTAAAGTCCTTCGTGTTTATAAAAAAAGAATGAAAGTAAAGTCTGATAGGAAGTCTTACCTAAATAAGTGCAGCATCTATGGAACGTTTTGAGCTATATAAGCCTCACTACTTCTAAACGACAGGACCAAATTCAGTTCGTAGGCTTACGTGTGAGTATAGTCAGAAAATTTGATGAATCGGTTGGAAAACGCTCCAAACGCACGTGGCGAAATAGTTCAGAATATAAACAAATTCTGACAAAACCAACGGCAACGAAATACACGATCGCAAACTCGAGACGATAGTTTCAAGTATATAATTTCAACAAAAGTCTTTAACGTGTAAAACGCACAGTAACCGTGAACATAAACGTGAAACGTGGCCCAATTTATGCCCAACCATAACCTGCGAACGGGCATGCTCTGTGTACGAGCTGGATTCACCACGCTCTTCATTGGGATTGGCCATGCGTGAAAAGACTGGGACTGGCCTTCAAGTTTGATTCCAAATTTCCAGTTGGAGGTAGCGTTGCAGTTGTATTCATTTCATGGGCCATGGTATTGTCGCTTAGACTTCTGCTGGCGGTCATATCAGAGTACTTGCCTTTCACCTCTTAGGTCCCGAGTTCGATTCTCAGTGAGGAACTTTCTCAATGCGACTCAAACCCAGTCCTCATGTGAAAAGAGTAAAAATTAACGCTCTGTCGAAAGTCGTGGGTTTTCTCCGGTTTCCTCCCACAGGGAAAGTTGGCAGGGTGGGTTAAACATATAGGTCAGGTCGCAGATCCTTAATGAGATATGGACTGATAGCGGCTGCTTAGAGCGCCATTTGTAAGCTCGTAGTCTACCTCGGTCTGCTTCACGTCAGTTCCGGTTCTATCTAGTATTCACAATGTAACCAGTCACTAAAAAACCCTGATAGGGAGTGTGCTGTGCAATATCTGTATCTGTATATTATGGGCAGAGCAGATCAATAGACATGGAAAACCTTTTTGTAATCCGTCGTATATTTAGATCATCCTTTGAGAATCCTTGCTTCTTTTATCTGATCCCTATTGGAAATGTAGCAAACAAAGAATTTTTATCGGTACGCACTTGTTGATTTGGGGTAAGACAAAAACAATAACAAAAGCCCGCGACACTAAGGTCTGGGAAGCATTGATCTATCTTAGTTGTAATCCATCGGTGCATAAATAATAACTGTAATACTAACAGCATGGAATCCATGCATGCAGACAATCGTTTTTAACCAAGCGTTAGCCCATTTGCAAACGAAACAACCTTCAGTTCGAACTTTATTGAATCTATACAGTAGAGTAGTAGTCGGAATGTAATTCAATGTCATACAAATGAAAGCAAACCACATTCAATAGGCAACTGGAGATGTTTTCCACATAGGCGTACCGGGCGGGGGGGGGCGGTACCCCCAGTTTTTTGGGCAGTCGGGCAATATTCGATTAACAGTCGGGCAATTTTGGTTTGTTATAAAAATAAATGGGACAAATTCTGTCAATTTTGTTGAAAATTTTGTCAATTTTGTGGCTGATGTAGTTTTTTTTGGAAAATTTGTGCGATGTTAATTAAAAATTTTGGCATGTCCGGAAAATTTTTTTGACCCCTAAAATGGTACACTGACCGAAATTTTTTTGGCGACGGGGGGGGGGTCGCCAAAATAATTTTCCGAAAAAAAATTTTCGGTACTAGTCGGGCACAATCCGCGAAAAGTCGGGCAATTTTCTTTCCGCCCCCTTAAATTTTTCCTTCCGGTACGCCCATGGTTTTCCACCGCATACCAAAAGTCTGTCAAGATATCTGATGGTCTTGAAGCCCAGCAATGCCACAAAATAGAAGACCTTTGTTTGACATTGAACTGTACCTCGCCGTGTACAAATATCAACTTCATTAAATATTATTCATCGTGGTTGCACGTTTCATCTCAGCTATCCATATTGGACGATTGGTAAATAGTTAAGCCCCGACCCGGTCAAACGAGGATAAAGGTTGATGAGAGTTGGCGGCAGTCACGAATTGTTACGAGGCTGGACACTTCAAGCTCTAGATTAACAAAACAAATTAAAGAATATTGGCAACAAAAAAATTATTGCTTCATCTGAAGGAGCATGAAAAAATAAGCCGATTGGCCGTTTAATGCTCTATTCTATCCCATCTAGTTCCGAAGTTATACGCAAAAATGTCCAAAATATAAACGTGTGACGTCATTGGTTGGGTAAATATGTTTAATGAATACTAAACTGAAGCATAGCTCAGTTATTATGGGCTCAAATCAAATGAAATTTTGCATACTGATTGTACATGATGAGACGCATTGAATTGAAAAACACTTCTAATTTTGTGGCCAAGGTAACAATGTCGTTCCCAGGCCCCTTGCGCCAATTTTATAAAACAGCTTTATTCATGGTACTTATAAGAATAAAATAATATCAGAAGTATGTGTACCATACCTATGCATGCCAAAAGTTTACTTGCATGATAATAATTTGAAAATGACATACATATAGATAAATGCAACTAGTTATTCAAAATCAGTGTAAGGGGCCTGGGAACAACTGTGTTGCCTTGACAACAAAATTAGAAGTATTTTCCCATGCGTCTCATCATGCACTATCTGTATGCAAAATTTCATTTGATTTGAGCCAATAATAACTGAGCAATGCATCAGTTTACTATTCAATAAACATACTTACCCAACCAATGACGTCACACGTTGTGCTAAATCAGCAATTTATATTTTGCACATTTTTGCGTATAACTTCGGAACCAGATGAGATAGAATAGAGCAGTAATCGGCCAATCGGCTTATTTTTTCATGCTCCTTCAGTTAAAGCAATAAAAAATTTTATTGCCAATGTCCTTTAATTAAGGTTTGATGAGTGTTCTAGTTACGTTTTGTGAATTTAAGGTCCGTTTTATACGTCGCCGGAATTCCGGTCGCGTCGAATGCAATTCAAACAATAGATAATGAAGCTTAATGAGGTTTATCATCTCATTATCTATTGTCTTAAATTGCATTCGACGCGACCAAAATTCCACGTATAAAACGGACCTAAATCAAATACACGATAGATCGTTTGACCCAGGCTTTAATTATAGGAAAATGCAATGATGTCATCGTGACTGTGCACAAATTAACATAAACTCAAAAAACAACAACAAAACACAGTGACTTCAGTTCCGTTTCCAGACCATCATATCTTGATATTAGGCTATGGCATACCGTACTAACCGTGGGTAATTGGGTATAACGTTACGAGGATTTGGATAATTTAGTAGCTTTGAATCATTCAGTAGTATCATTCAGTAGGATTGCCTAGCTTTCCTAGCAAATAAATTGTTGTTGTTGTTATTGAATAGTCAGACCTCTTTCTGATGACGTCTTTCAAAACGATACGACTTCCTTTCTGCATGTCAGTTATCTCAATAGGTTACCCCCAACGAAACCGCGTCAGATTACATATACACAGATATTTACTTCTGAGAAAATTTGATTCCGTTTCAAACGTACACACAAATTTATTTAATAAGTTTTATTGCGCGCTCTACATGTCATATGATGGGGACGGTTACTTAAATTAGCATACAGTACGACTTACTGCAAACGTAGGACATTTTCTAGACTTTCTCAAAATCCGTTTTTTACTGTTTTATAAACATTATATTTACTTTTGGGCAAGTCATTTTCCGGACGGTCAAGTACAGAATAAAGATTTCTCTAACCTCGTAACTAGGGCATTTTGCCCTGGGTACGAGGTTGAGATTTCTCAGCAATGAAACCTAGGTGACGAATCATGATAATAGGGGTAGTTATATAGTTATGCGGTTATAGTCAGTCATATAGTCATACTCACATAGTTATAGTCATATACTTCAAGTCATAGTCATGATGTAGACATATAGTCACAGTCATATTATAGTGATATAGTCATAATTATGTACTCATATAGTCATAGTCATCTAGTATGTAGTCATAGCAATGTAGCCAATAGAACAAAGAATAGGACAACAATGCAGTGCGTTTTTAAAATTATTTCTTTCTTGGTACATTACACAGCTGAATTATAATTTAATTTACACACACAAATAACATAGTCCATGAGATTGTCAATAGAAACAGTTCTTTCGGATGCAGATTCGGAGACCAAACAACACATGACATATCAAAGAGTGTTTGAAAGTACTCACGATGTCTAGCCGGTTCAGGATAGTTTAGGAGTTTAGGATTTTGCATGCTTCTACTATTCCTTGCCACATAACTTCATGATTCAACAGTGAAAGAGCCCGTTCTGCATACGAAACTATCCGGCGTTCTTCTCTGCGCAAAACCTCAAAACACTGTCTAAACCTTGCGCACTGATTACCTTCAGTGTGAGACAGTGTCACATGCTTTGCGCGTATCTCTTCTTCTAGCTTTTGTATCTGACGGTAAATCATCTCCGTAAACACAAGATCAACTAGTTTTTTCAAGATTCAAAATAAATATCATCTACATAAATTTGCGTAAGCAGGTGTGCCATGATTCTCTTTGGCTTTGCGTTTTTTAGGTCAAGTGTACTTGCTATCTACTTGTCAAAGTCTCGAGCAAGTATAGATTTAGCTGGAACGTAGCCAGACAGCCCAGACCAATGTAATCCTACGATCTAGCAAGTATACTTCAGCTCAAACTTATATCACTTTATTTACAATGCGCGAGTCGTGCTTGGCGCAGGCTCGCCCGATCAGCGCGAGGTGGCATCCTTCGGATGCGCTGGATGGGGGCGGGGGTATCTACTTATGTCATTCATAGACCAGTTATCCAGCACGTTCATTAGCATTTGGCACGGAACTATTATAACTACAGTTATCATTTTCACATTTGCCCAGACTTTATGGTTCTTGACATGAATATTTAAAATTTTGCTATCGAGTTTCAGATTACGCCTCTTACTCATAGCGATCGATATTATAAATCAGATAGTATTAGATATAAAAAGACGATGCACTGTAGTTAGCAAATTTAAAAATCCCACCTAAAACATGTTGTTAACAGTAATACCAGCCATTACTAGTTTCCAAATCATATCGTTAGTAACCTGTGAAAAAGAAAAAAAAACGTTAAGGTAATATATACAACGATTCAGAAAAGGCACTGTAGCTAAAACGTTATAATGACGCAAGTATACTTAGTAGTATAGTACAACATTTTTCAGAAATTGTGTACCAGTTAACTACCAAAACAAAACACCTACATTTTCACAAGACTTTATTCTTAACAACTGCCCACATGGTTTCTCCAGCAGAGTTTGGAGTCCAGAATCAGTGATCCGTGGACACCCACCAACGTCCAGCTCCACCAATTTTGAACAGTGTCTAATAAGCTTTTTGATGCTACGGTCTGTTACTCCATAGCAACTGCTGACACGAAGTTCACGGAGATTTTTGCACAAGATTAGATTTGAAAGTCCCTTGTCCGAAATCTGAAAATATTATATTACACAAAAGTCTATTATCGAATTAACATCATTCTCGTACCCAAAGCCCTTCTTACGCGTGTTCAACGGAGCGCGAAGAGAGGCTCTGACGAAAACCAAAACGGGAACCAGGAAAACCTGGTTCCGGATAAACACCGCATGCTCGAATTCATACTTGAATAATATTAACTTTATAATTATCAAAGATTGGCTGACAAAAAGTCCCGTTTATAAAACTGTTTAACAACAAAATGAACGAGCAAGTTAGCAACTGGAAAAAATAGTATAGTTCGATTTCACACACTATATCTATCAGCTAATACATTTGGGAAATCGTTTTGTGTTGTTATATTGTTGTAATTGTACATCACGTGCAGTACACGCGCCCAGCATGTAGCAATAACTCTTTGTGATTGGTTCCCTAAAAAACACGCATTCTAAAAAAATTTTGGCATGTTTTGACAGCCTAGATGGAAACCAGTTAATACTGTTCGTTGTTGCCAATCAGATGCCTCAATGATAATAATGCTTTTCGCCAGAGCCCTAGTCACGCTCCGTTGACCGAGTATAACAAGGGATCTGGGTACGAGAATGAATAAAAATCAATTCAGTGTTAGGATTGCCAGGAAATTAAATCACAACATCTTCAGTAATGGTTTGGGAAAATAAAATATAATTTCAACACCTTAAGTTTGGACTGGCTGGATTTATACCACGTCCACAGGATCGCCTCTAACTCAAACAAAACTGCTCAGATTTGAAATCCAGTCAAGTCCTCAGTTTTGATTTAGAAACTGTCTCCACCATGGGAAGGTAACACACACAAAGGTAACACACAATATAAATTTGCAGAATTAACAAGCAACTGTTTCAGGCAATCACAAAAAATGTTTCAGCTAAAGTCGTATCTGGTGATCTTTTCTAAGTTTATTTAAGCTTTTTTGAGACTTTTTATTGTTCCCAAATTTAAAACATGCATGTGTATTTACTTCGCAGGTAATCAAAAATAATTTGCAGATACCCTGCGAGCGAAGCGAGTATCAGGAGTTGGTTTGCATGGAACCGCATAGCTTGCGAGTTGCGACTGGGACCGGGCCAATTGAGAAAGTCAATTTTGGTAATGGGAAACATAACTCAAAGCTTGACAGTTTGGAATTTGCTAAACACAATCGGGCGACAGAACAGGAAAACAGTCAAGCGACACAAAGTTCGAGAATAGAAAAGAGAATGTTATAGAAAAGAGACGCCTATTAAATATTGTTTGTAAATATTTCAAACAAATACAAGCAAAAATTGAAATTTCTATTGTACTAGCGTGCACAAGACCTTCTGACCCAGGTTTGCAGTTAGCTCCAGTCACTTGCAGGTAACGCGGATACCTCGGATCCAAACATCTGACACCCATGGTTAAAATTTGCTATCCATGTTGAAAAATTACGGGCGTATTGTACACTATTTTGCACACAAATTCCGCAGGCCCCCTAAAAATTGTGACCTTCCCATAAGGCACGAGGGCATGTGAAGAAGGCGGGTTTAGAAATGTTATTTCCAAGAATATGCATTGCAGAAGTCAACTATTATATTCTCAATATAATACAAAATGATTGCACCTACCTTATAACAACTACTAACATCCAGTTCTTGCAGTTCGTTGCAACATTCACATAGTTTTCTGATGGCATCATCTGTCACATATTTACATCGGCGAACACTCAGGACACGAAGCTTAGGACAATTGTTTGCGAGAGTAAACAAATTCTCTTCTGTTGTACAAATCCAACACTCATCTAATCGGACAACCTTAAGGTGTCTGGAAATCTTCAATATGGCATTCAACCCTGCATCAGAAATTATTGGCGTGTTTGCAAAATCAAGTTTATGTCTATCTCTCAAGTTCGATGTAGCATAATAGTTCCATTTAGTTGAAACCAGTCTGCAAATGCATACGTCTTTAATATCAAGCCATTGAAATATTTGATGGACAATTACCTCAATTGGCAAGGCCTCCAATCCCTGGTAAATTGGATCTCTGCACGTTTCTGCATTACCAGTCTAGAGAAAAGTAAAGATTGAGTAAAGTATACTGCTATGCGAAGGCTCATTTGGCTGATTTAGGTTAAAAATGCATGCGTGGGTATTAGATCATTTGGTCTACCCTCAATAGTGATGCACTGATATCTATATCGACGTATCGGATATCGATATATCGAATTCGTTACATCGGCCCTAATTTTGTAATATCGATATAGGTATTTTTTTTCCGATATTATTGGTCTTGTATTATAAAAAAATTCTTAAAATACATATTTAATTTATATTTAAAAATATTTTGCTTTCAATATGATTGTAACATAACTCATTGACCCGAATGTATCAACAAAAATCGATCAATGATATATATGTAGTTCCACAGATGAATTGCTCTATTAACTATAGGAAGGACCGCTGCCCAGTAACTGCTCTACTACTCCAATTACGATAAATTTTCTACAGTAAGTTCAACTGTCACTTGTGATTTTGGAAGTGAAATAGAATATCGGTATCGGCCAATATCGGCCTTGATCATCAATTATCGGTGATCTGCTGTACAGTATCTTTTAAAACAAGTAAACTCCATAGTTAAAATCACTTGTTAAGGTCATAATCTGGCATTAGACTGGGCGGAATATAACTGATTAATGGGGTAAGAAAGTTTGATCTGTGCTTTAATTACGATTCAAAATTCCAAACAACTGAAAAGCTGTTGCAAACCTCAATTCACACGCAAAAACTAACCAAAGTGCGCCTCGGTCATAATAAGCGTTTGTCTCATGTTGCATGCATAGTGTGGAAATGTTTGTTTTTTCCCTTTTAGAACATGATCATGATATTTCAGTTCTCTCTATGCCCCATAAACTGTCTCGTAGCGAGCTCTATCTATATAGAGCATACCAATGAAGCATTCAACAAAAGATAACCAAAACAAAGCCTTATTAGTATTCTCGATATAGAGCATATATTACTAATAAAATATAGAGCATATTACTAATCAGTTCAATAAACTCACTGTGAG